TGGCCTTTCGAGGGTAATGTGCAATGTTCAGGGGAGGAATGTTGTACTTGCATTCCTGAAGACCTCTCAGAGATCTTTAACATGACTAAAAAGATCCAAGAAGTAAACAAAGATATCAGGAAGCGGGGAACTTTGATCCCATATTTGGTTCCATGGACTTTTCCGATTGTGCATGAGATTTGTTATTTTATTTAGTCTGGGCATTCTTGGCTCCTGGCTGAAAAGTGAACTATGCAAACTCTGGCCATAATCCTTCTCTTTGTATTTGTCTGTGTACCAGTGTTCAGATGTGTGATCTCCAGAGTTTTAAATGCTGTTGCATACCTGCTATGCATCAAATGATTCAGCAAAAGGTCATGCAGAAGAAAGAACTGGAAAACTTGACACACAGGTTGAAACAACTATCCCCAGAAACTGGGAGGTTGAAACAACTATGCACAGGTGATTGACATGCAATTATGATACCTCAAACAGCGGTGAAGATCTGGATTGATGTTCTCAGATATTGATGGTCTGACCTTCAGTTTGGGCTGAATAATGACCACAAGGACCAACTGAGAACAGAAACCATCTATCCCACACTCTGCCCAGACACAGAGAACCCAAAACTACACCTTAGGGTCCTCATTAAGATGACTTTGTGTTATACCTCTGTCTTCATTAGCATGACTTTATTTTTTCCAAGAGTCTCCTCCCCCAGGCAAATGGCTTGATTGGTCATTGCAGGATTTTCCCAAAGACTCATCAACTCTTCAATGGAAAGCATCACCAAAAATTTGCACCCAAAGATTCTTTGAATGCTTTGCCTCAAAATCCTGACCTTGCCATTTATTGTTGACTCTTGTATTAGAATTCTCATCCAATTCCAATCTAGCCCCCACTTTGAAAGTCCTGCCTTAAATCAAACTTTCAATTTTCAGTAAATTCTGACCTTCCTTCCCTTTCCTGAGACCCTCCAAAGCTTTTCTCGCTATAGGCAATAAAGCAGCTTTATCTTATCAGTAGGTTGTGTTGGTGATATTTAGGAAGCCGGTTTTTGACAACAACTTAGATAAACACATTTTGTTTTTAAAAAGAAGGAATAAATATGGTGGGCCAAAAAAAAAAAAAAAGTCATGGAAATAAAGAGAGAGAGAGAGAGTGATAAAGTATAACTGGGATGATTGGAAATACTTAGCAAAGAACTGATGTTCACTCTGATTCTGGAAGAATGAACAGGATTTTGCCAAGAGAAGAAGGGGAGAAGGGAGTGGCAGTGCTAGCAAGGTGGGGGGGATTCTAGGCAATGGAGGGGCTCCAGTGGAAATGCCAAGAGGTCTGATGCATGGGTGAGCAAGGCAGGGCAGAGTCTGGGCTATAATCTGGTTGCTGGGGTGGGGAGTTCGCACAGGGGAGGTTGCCCAGAGAGCTGTACCCATGGGGCAGCTGGGTTGAAATCTGGAGGGTGAGGGTGTGATACTGGAGCCTGTTTTGCAGGATGTGGTCTGCATCAGAGAATGCTGCTAGAAGCACTGATGAAACTGTTGTGGGGTTGGGACACCGGTTCCCGGTCACTGCAGGGCAGGCCCCGTGAGCATGTTCGCTGCGAAGGCAAGAAAAGGCACCGAGCAAGGGTCTGACTCCACCATTAACAATCTTTGGGACTCGGTTTCTCATTGTTGCAGTTATGGCACGAGGTAACTGGTGTCAGCTCATTGAAAAGCAATGAGCGTTGTTTCTAGATGCAAAGACAGGTGATCATATGTGTGGCCGGATAGGTTTTCTTGGTTCCCTCCTGCCCTGATCTCTTTCTTCTCTGACTCCCCTCCTACGGGAAAAGGGTTTCGGTCAGAAAATGTGAACGCAAGATTATTTAA